ATTAAGAATACAAAAGAAACATTTCATGCCCATGCCATTCTGGTGAAATGAGCAAAGTAGTTGAGGTAATAGAGTTAAAAAGTTTCTTGTAAAGTGGAGTCTAGGTTTCTAGTTCAGTAAACACACATAGCCTTGAGGGTCTGGCTTACTGCCCAGCTGCCAGTACGTGACACCTGCACCCTTATTTGCCTTTTCCTTGTCCTTGTACTCCTGCTGATCGGGCTCCGTTCTCTTGGGAACACCAGTGATACAAGATTCATCAAACCTGCTTACCATTCTATATAAGCTAGGAAAGACCCCCTGTAATTTGAGCTATTTTGTTTATATGCAAGCTTTGCTCCTGTATGCACTGGGGTGGACCAGTGGCTGAAAGGTTGCTGGTTCAAATCCTGTGTCTGGCAGAGGAATTCTACTCCATTGGGCCCCTGAGCAAGGCCCTTAATCCCAGCTGCTCCAGGGGCACTGTACAAATGGCTGACCCTGTGCTCTGACCCCCAGCTTCTCTCCCTGTCTGTGTGTCTCATGGAGAGCAAGCTGGGGTATGTGAAAAGACAAATTCCTAATGCAAGAAATTGTATATGGCTAATAAAGTGATCTTATCTTATAATTTATAAATAATGATAAAAAATCTGCTTTTTATTGAAATGTTTTAAATGATTGAACTGTACAGGTCACTGCTAGATTTCCTTGCTGCAAACTGTACCTAAGAGATTATTCTTATTAAAGCTTTACCTAGAGACGGTTGTTCTCTATCTGTACAGTAGCTTTTGTTGTCAGCATACTTGCAAATATTCAAATTAGGTCAGAGGTAATTAATCACACACTTTACAGCAAGCATTCTAGAAAAATAGTTAAATAAGGTATAGAAAAAATCTTTAAACGGTGGAGAAAAATTGCCCTTCTTACCATTAACAATTTAATAATATATTAAAAACAATTGAGAGCTATATCCACTAGCCAATTTAACAATAAAACATTCTTTATTGTCAATCAAACAGCTTTCTTCTGGAGCCATATTTTAATTATCACATAACGAGATGTTAAACAAGATGTTCATTAACATGCAAACCAAATCCTGATTTTTGACAAGTACAAATAATATATTTAAGAACACAGCAATGTCCTAAGTATAAGAAGAAAAGAAAAAAACAATTAGTTAAAAGTAGAAAATAAGCATCTGAGTTAAAAACGTTTTTAACGTTAAAAATTGCAACTGAACTGCACCTCTAAAATATCTGTGAAACAGAAAGTGCCCATGAATCTTTCAGAATGCAAGTTTAACAAATCTTTAGGCTACCCAAGGATTAACTGTACTGGTGATCTCTCCAGTTTTGTGCAAAAAATCAAATGAACTCCCTGGGTTTTTAATTGGGTGCTATCATGTTCATACCTAGCAGGCCTGCGATTTCAGTATGTTCTTCCTTACTTCACCTCTTGAGCCATTCTTGCATCTGCTGGCCTTAAAAGGCTTTAGATCTGTGTTATGATGCCTTTCCGGCTACAGGAGAGATGCTGAGTGGTATTTTACATGGGGGGTCAGTGCCAAAAAATGGGAAGAGGTTCTCCTCGAAGGTGTCGTTGAAAGTGTGGATGTGAGACCTTAGCTCAGCGTTGTAAAAGGAGACGTGCCCCTCCTCGGAATCCACATACACCCCCAACCTCTGGGGCTTCAGGCTTGACTGAAGAGGAGTCTCTTGTTTTCCAGCAACAAAAAATTTATCATCCCGGAGGCCTAAAGCCCAGTATCCTGCTGAGGGGTCAATAGATAGTTTCCCAGACCTCTTCGCTGACTCCTTGGAGACTCCAACATACCACTGAGTCTTCTCCCCCACAGTCACCTCCCAGTATTGTCTGCCCTTGGTGAAGCCCTCCTCACCCAGGACACAGGGCAGCCGCTCAAATCTCTTCTGACTGGGAGGGACGTCCTTTTTATCTCCCAGTGTCACAGTCTTGCCATCCTCGGATATTATAAGGCTTTCCTGTGCTGTTTCAGGATCCAGTCTCACATCGACTAAAGAGAAGAAAAAAAAATGCTGTAAAAAGGAGGGTTTATGTGTTGTGTTTTTACCTTTCTAACAAAACTGCATAAAACATTAAGATTTGGTGTTGCAGCCTCAGTCATAACTATAATCGGAACATTTTAGACAAACACATATCAATACGCACACTCCAACTGGCACAACATGGGAGGTCTACATCCACTAAAAAAATAGGTCTTCATTACATATAAATATACACTATATATACAGTTTCAAGGAAAAAAGAGAGAAAAGTATATAAAGCCCATTTCACATTGTAAATTCAATGTTTAATATAAAAAAAAGATCAAATACAATAATATATTAACATCTTGTATTTAATGTGGAAGTATAAATTAGAGCCTGGATTTGATGGTGTGTCCACAATAACCTTGAACTTCAATTCAACTTTTTATTTTATTGTGTAATTGCAAATGTAACCACACAATGTAACCACACACAATTAACAGTAAAATTGGTTTATTCACTGTAGAGCCATTCAATATTCTTTTCAGTATCTGTGCACCTTCTCTTTAAAATGTGTTTTCAAGCTTTGTAAAGGTACTGTGTACTTTTGTACAAATTAAAATGTCACAAAAACATGAAACCATGTGGACTGTGCATACACACATACCAAACCATTCCACACAACATGTGTCAAAATCAAAATTAAAAACCGTAAGAAAACTGAATAAGAAATGGAAAACATTCTCATCTAAGTAAAATGAAGATGTTACCTGCAGCACTGCAAATCCAGTGCCAAACTAGAAGAATAAAAGACACCATTACACACTGCATTACTACATATAAATAATAAATTAATAAAATGTATAACAGAATGTTAAGCCACCAGCTGTGATTGTACCATATTACTGTACATTAGGAAACATTACTGGTTCAAATGATCAGTAACAATAATTCCTTACACTTATATAGAGCTTTTTTAGACACTCAAAGCGCTTTACAGGTAATGAGGACTGCCCCTCCACCACCACTAATAATATTAGTAATTACTGTTTTAAATTGATCGCTTTCTCTGTTTTCAGGGAAATTATTTCAACAAGCCACATCCGTATCTAAAATGAGCTCTATATGCACTTTCTGTTCAATATGGTTTCACTTATCACACGAATACCAGATTTCTCAGCCAGTCAGTGAATGCATAAAATGATTTAAAAATGAATACATAATATAAAACATTTGTATTGATGCTTTGACAGGTTGATAGACTGTAAGGTTACAAATGAGTAAAACTGGTATAAAGACAATTAAAATAATAATTCTTACCTGAATTTGGGATAATCTTTACAGCATCTGTACAAGACAGGAGTATAAAAGATTTAAATGTAGATACAAAAAATCTTGTGCTTATGGTACACAAGGAACAATACTCATCATACCACCCTAATGTAAAGTGGTAACTATTATGATTCCCTACACAAGAGATTGTACTATACTAATAAAACTGTTGTAATTCAGGGGGTTAATAAAATATCTTCCCTTGAGGATATATACAAAATACAGTTAAATATATAAATGTGTATATGCAAGATGTCCTTTTAATAGCAAAGGTGCAGTGCTTTATCCATCTCTTGAACACTGAAGACAGAGCCCCGTTTAATACGGTGTGTCTGATCTTTAACTGCATGTGAATTGCATTTCCTCTTCATTTCCTGTAGGGTAAATTTCCTGTTTTGTCTACAGTAGAAATTAAACACTGGCAAATCTGAAGATAGGAAGTTGGGGAGGAATGGGTTTTGGGCACAGAACTTCAATCTTCAAAGTTCTGTTTGCCTGCCAGTACTCCTTTAACGAACTCTGAGACACGTTAATTGCTGGAGTGCTGTGTGGAGGTCCTAATGGATGTTGAAAAAGAGGATCAAACAGCTCCTACCAGGCACGGGTCTACGGGTCACTAGACGTCAATTCCCAGAATTCAGTGCTCAAGCATCCCTCCATTAAGCCCATGGTCACTGTCCCTGCAGCAATCCCTCTGGATCGTTTCATAGGGGCAGAGCTTCCGAATCGACCTCAGGACCCTCAAGCTAAATCCAGACTACTGCATGTGCTTAAATCATCATTTAATAAACTCTCAGAAGCGTGATTTTGCTTTTGGCTGTGTGGTAAAGAGATGTTCGTTCTAGCTTTTGTATAATTGACACCCACCTTTTACGCGGGTCTGATCCTCGCGTTCTGCAAGAGCAAAAACAGGATTATTTCTCACAGTCAGTATATATTTCTCCTCTTTGAAATGTGTTGGAAAAGTCAACATGCAGTCAGCAATGGCATTTACCTCTCCTCGTTTTTTCCAGTTGTGAAGTGATAGAATCTGTAAAACAGTTCAAAAAGCAATCAGATTTCTTTTCAATGCAAATGTGAAGAAAACATTTTTAAAACTTAAAAACAGTACACATACCATACATAGACGCTCTACGTATATCAGGATTAGCCAAGTCAGTGATACAGATTCAGAGCTAAAGCCGGAATCAGCTAATTAGAGAGAAGTGCTCTAACGCGCTGTGGAAAGAGATGAAGGCGGAAGGCCACCACACAGACATCAAATGTTGTGGTTCACAATCTCAAGATTTCACTTTTGATACTTAGGTTTAATATTAAAGACTGTGTTGCTTGTTTCATGATTAGAAAATTAATGCACCAAAATAAAAGTGAATAATTTAATGAATTCCCAAAAAACATGTACTTTTGCACCTTAACTGTAAAATACCAAAAATAAGAATTCAGTTCATGGTACCTCTGTTATTAGTAAAATTTCAAAAGTGGGAATGAAGAGTGAAATGCATTCTTTACCTCTAATCCCCTTGTTAGTCAAAATACTTTTTAGTTTTTATTTCACAGCATAATTACAAACATTGAGCCAAGAATATAAAACTTACCA